AAGTCAGCCAGAGTGTCATGCCCCAGCGTAACTCTGGCTGGCTGATACGCTCACTCACCGGGAGCTGGCACCGCACGCTGCTCGCGATGCCTCAGCGCTAACCAGAGCTGTCTAGCTCTTTTATCAGAAGCGACCACCTGGCCATCAACCAGAGGTCACAACCGGGTACCCGATACCCGTACACTACCCGTACCCGGCTACCCGAACCCGGTCGGGTACGGGTAGCCGTTTGCGACCCTGGTGCGGCAGGGTAGGCCGTGAGTCACTGGTGAGTCACCGTTTGTCACTCATTTCCCAACGTCTTGTCTCTTCTCACAATTCAAGTTCCTAGAATCAACCCACCCCCACGCCTGCAACATGGCTTCATCCCAGAGGTCGCAATCGGGTACCCGATACCCGTACCCTACCCGATACCTGGCCGGGTACGGGTAGCCGGGTATCGGGTAGGGTACGGGTACCCGTTTGCGACCCTGGTGCGGCCGGGTACGGGTAAGGAATCAAAACCCGTTTGCGACCTCTGGCGCTAACCAGCGCTAGAGTTGGTACCGCAACCCGTAACCCGGGCTGCCCGTAATCACAACGTTACCGGCACCACACAGTGACAACTGCAGTGTATTGGAGAGCCAAGCCACAACATTTACAAATCCGAGTATCGACGTTTCTCCAGTAATTGCAACCGGCTCCCTCAGGCTGACAGCCAGATTAGTGGAGAAGTCCACCTGTTGCGTTCCTCGTATAATGCAGAAGGTTTTTACACTATGAGACCTCCTTTATCAGTGGCAAAATATAGTAGTAGGTTTTTACCCTTTAAACTGGTACAAAACTGACACCTTTATACAAGGCATCATGTTTGCAATAACCGCAACACAAGCAGTCAAAATGCAAACAAAAAACACAACTCTGATAATGATATGCACTGTCCTTGAAGTTGATTGGTCCACACCCGAGACAGCTTTCCTTAGAGCCTAGTCTCCATTGGTGTTGGACCAGATGACGCCAAAATGCGTACAACTCAAAAATAGTGCACTATCAGAGTATTGAGAGCTCGGGGTAAGCATTTACACTATGAGACCTCCTTTACCAGTGGCAAAATATAGTAGGTTTTTACCCTTTAAACTGGTACAAAACTGACACCTTTATACAATGCATCATGCCTTTTGGCATCATCTGGTCCAACACCAATGGAGACTAGGCTCTAAGGAAAGCTGTCTCGGGTGTGGACCAATCAACTTCAAGGACAGTGCATATCATTATCACTATCAGAGTTGTTTCTTTTCGTTTGCATTTTGACTGCTTGTGTTGCGGTTATTGCAGACATGATGCCTTGTATAAAGGTGTCAGTTTTTTACCAGTTTAAAGGGTAAAAACCTACTACAATACAGAAGGCGTCGTAGATGCGGTGACAACGCTTCTGCACTTGACTCAAAGTACGTTTTGCATGCGCATTATGCGAGCCCCATTGAACGTGTCCTTCCAGTCACGAAAGCCTCCGAGTTAAACTCGTTTATATACAAATCTAGATTTGAAGCTGTCGTGACTGCAGGAATCCATACTCTTTGGTTCTTTCGGTAAAGTCACGTGGGTTTAGAATAATGAAATAAATCACGACGTTTCAGGTGCAACAGGCCACGCTTTTCCCACCTGATGACGGACGCTTGCGTTGCGCCCGAAACGTCGGGATTTATTTTTTTAAATCCTTTATAT